GCCACGGGAAGTTCGTGGGGGTGACTCACAGGAGCCCACTGACTCACTGGAGACCACTCCTTCCCAGCAGTGGGCTTCAAGCCATTGAGTAAACAGGGTGAGGCAGGCACTGTGCTCTGGGAAGAGCAGCACAGCACTGATTTAAATGCCTGGCAATCGATACAAAGCCTCCCTGGCAAGAAGAAAAGGTACCTAACCCCAACATCTTGGCCAGGCGCCACCTCACACCTTTGCTTTTTGCCACCTGAAATTCCCCCGCTGGGATTTTTAGGAGCTTCTCTCCCGTTTCCCACCCTGCCTGTAACGCACCTGTGGCTGTTGGAGGCAGCTTGTGTGGCGTTTCAGACCTCGTTTTCCACTTAAAAATAGGGGAAGACTTGAGAGGTGAGCTCGGAAATACCAGGGGAGAAATCTGTAAGTGCCAGCAGGTGGGAAGTTTTGAGTTCCTCCTGTTCCATCCCGTTTTTCCCCCTCATAGAAAGTTCTTGGACATCTGTTTGTAGTGTCTGTGAGGCATGTGGGGCCACGTGTGGGACATCATTGGCCATTGCCAAGGTGCTGTCTCGAGCTCAGGTGCTTTTTGCAGGATCTTTGCAGGTTGAAAGTGATGCACCGGTTTGTCCTTCTGTAAGATCCGGCTGCTGTGACCCCTCAGTTTGGTTCTAAGTGATGCAGAGACCATCAGGAGTGATCCCTCTGACATTTGCATCAGTCATGATATTGCCACACCAAAGGGTGGCTCATCACACTCCTGCCAAGGGCTGTTTCAATGCCCCGGGGGTGAGATGAGTATCAGGGAACAGGAGGGAGAGAGATTGGTGAGAGGCTCAGCAGAGGCAAGGTTGTGCAAAGCAGCGTGGAGTTCACAGGGTTGTTAACAAAGAGGCATTGAATGGAGGCTCAGTGTTGTGTCAGAGCTCACAAGTGCCTGGAGATCATTTCCAGAGCTTTCTATATGGGGGAGCAAGAACCAGATCTGCAGGTGTGGGAGCCTCGACGTAACAGCACCTGCCGGGCTCTTGGGAGAAAGGGTTTTTAGGGTCAAGAACCACCACTTGCCACTTTGTCTGCTCCCTCCCCACTGCCCCTCACACCTGGGCAGTCCAGACCTTCCTTCCCAGCCCACTGCCTCAGGGCACCCCCAGCTCTGCACGGTGCCCCCCAGGCCTTGCACGACCTGGTAAAAATATCTGGGTTTGGGATCGTGGGGAAAGGCATCAACACAAACCACTTCAGAGGCCAAGGTGGAGGAGTAGGATCTCAGAGGTCTCCACTAATGAGGCCTTGGCACCAACATGTCTTTGGCACACAAGCTGGGCCTTTTTGGTCCTTGACTAAAAAAAAAAAAAAAGTAACCCCACAAAACCTAATGAATAAAAACGCAACGCAGGCAAGCTGCAACCCATCCAGCTAATCCTTCCTCGTGTGCTGGCCGCCCCTGGGAGGTGTCAGCACGGATTGGTGGGCACTGGGAGATCTGGCACGGGACGTGCCAACAGCAGGATGCATCCCAAGCCTTTTCTCTGCTGCACCAACCACACACAGATCGCTCAGCAGGGAAGAACCCAGGCGAATCCCGGCCCTGCACTCACACACACACACATACACATCCAGTTTAATATGTTCAACCCTCTCCAGAGGCTGATTAGTGATTTTATTTTCCCCTCCTCTCCCGGCCCTGCGTGCTCATTGCCATCAATTATCTGTGCGTTTGCCCTGATGAATTATTGAGCGCGTAACGGGGCGAGGGAAGACCCGCCATCCCAGCTCCCAGGAGCGTGGCAGCACTTTTGGTTTGCCCTCTGCCTTCTGCTTTAGGGTGGGGAGCACGGGAAGCTGAACATAAAGAGTTCATCCTCTCTTGCAAAAGAGCCATGAGTTATTCAGCCACCTGGAAAGGAAACGCGATTTCCGTGCAGTGTTTGGGGTTTTTCAGGATATTTTTTTTTTGTTTGTTTTGTTATTTCTTCTGCTGGGTGTTATTTATTTATTTTTTTTTTCCTCCCTTTTCCCCTGAAGCCTCGAGAAAGTTTGGAATGTGTTTTTGTTGAAGCTGGTACGTGTAGGGGCCTGAATCCCAGCTCTGGCAGCATTTGGTTGTTGGCAAGCAGCGCTCACTGAACTGGCACCAGCTTTTTCCCTGGCCAAAAGTCTGGCTCTTTACACTTGGGGAGAGGGTTCTGCTGGACCATTCTGGGATCTAGTTCAGGATCAGCTCCAAAATTCACTTCTTCTCCAATTTATGTCCAAGTCCAGTCTGCATTGATGCATGGATCCCATGGCAGGGAGAAGGTGGAAGAGGGAGGGTAGCACTGGGAATTGTTGCTACCACTCAAGGTCAAGAAAAATCACTTGATTTTTAAAAGGGTCAGTTCATTAATTTGCAGGGAAATCACAGCATAAAGGGAGGGCATGGTAATGACTGAAGTGAGGGTGTGGATTGATCTTTCCTGTGCTCTATATCACATTCCCTGCTAGGTTGGCTGACTGTAACCTTATTTAAGGGGCACAGCTTAGGTGCAGTTAGATGTCCCACGAGGGAGAGACAGGCTGTCTGCCCTTCTCCAAGGAGAAGCTAGTGGCTTTCCATCCTCTCCTCTCTGGAGTTTTGCTCATCTCTTGCTCCTCTGGCACCTCGAGGAGACGCCGGGGCCGCTGCTGCTTCCTGGGCCTCTTTATTGGGATGTGGAAATCCCTGTTCAAAGGGATCCCTTGAGGCCTTTGTGGGGGGTCAGGGAGCTTGTGTGGGAGCAGAGCCAGCTGTGCCATCGCCCCAGCCCCGGGCAGGCTCTGCCTGGGGGCACGAGCCCTTCATGAAAGGGGTGCTGATGAATCCGCTCTCCCCCAGCCCTGGGAGGAGGAGGGAGAGCTGAGCACACCTCCAGCCAGGCAGTGCTGAGGAGGGTGGCGGGCTGTTCCCAAGGCCCTGGCTACGTGCTGGAATTGCTCCCCAGCAAGCTCCCACATGCTCTGGGAGGCTCTGAAGGCTTCAGAGCCAGGCTTTGCTTGGCAAAGCTGTTCCTCACCTCCGTGGGTGTGGGCAGCGCTGCAAGAGGCTCGCTCACCTCCAGGGTGCAAGGAGCAGCATATGCTGCAGGGCATGTTGGACACATGTCCCCCCTCCCCATCCAGCCATTCTTTCCTCATATCCCAGCGTGACATCATCCAAACCCAGCCCATGCCCTCATTTCATCAGGAAGGGCATTGTGGGCACAGACCAGGCTGGTGTCGGAGAAGTCCTTCACCGTGTCCTACTGCTGGGACATCCTCCAGTGGAGAAACGTGGCTCAGATATGACTTTTTCAGAGCAGCAACATCCCTTCCCTCTGGTTTCAGGAGGGAAAACCATGGCAAAAATGTCCCTGGCCACACTGGGAGGGGAGAGGTGCTGGGCTGAGCCTCACAGGGCTCGTGCGTGCAGGCACATGAGGGCACCAGTGCTTTGCTGTGGCTGTAAAGCAGCTCTGGAAAACATTCCTCAGCACCCAGCTGCAGTGCTGGGGTGTGGGGCAAACCAGGGCTTGGCTCAGGGAAGGGGGCAAGTCCACACAAAGCTCTGGAGGCCGAGTTTCGGTCGGAACTGCTGATGGCTGTGGTCAGCTGGTGGCGTCTCCTGGCCGGGCTGGGCTGTTGAGGCTTGTCTTCGGGGTCACAGGAAGGAGAAGGGGAGAGGGAGGAGGCGTAGATGAGATGTGGGGATTGGGATGAGGCTGAGAGTGAGGGGGCAACGTGGAGCCTGCGTGTTTGTGGGTGAGGAGAGTTTATTCTGCCTGCGCTTGTGCGTGTGTGAAACTGCGGGAGGGGGAGCCTTGCTCAGGTTCACTGGAGGAGTCCCAGGTACACCTGCCGGGGATCTGTGGGGGCTGACACTGAGCAGTTCACCCTGGCCTGGCACAGGGAGCCCATTCATCCCCTGCAGGAGCAGGTCAGGGTGACATTTCAGTTAGAAGATGCTGCCTGGTTTCTCTTCCTGTGCGTTTTTCTTTCCCCCGCTTCTCTCTCTTTCGTTACCCCTTCACGTTGCTCACTGTTTGTACATCTTTCTCTCTTTATTATCCCTTTCTTTCCTTTACTCTCAGGCTCCCAGAATACATCCAATTCCAGATTCTACCAGAAGCAGGGAGCAAAACCCGCTTTTCTTGTTCTTACCACCTTGCTTCTCCGTTGTATTTATCATATAAATACTGGCTGTATAATTACCAGAGTATTATCTCTAAATATAAAGATTGGGAAAAGATAGAGTGGCAGCAAAGATGAATGTCAGGGTCAGTCTGGTGGGAGACATTTTTCTCCATCTGTCAGGGGAAGAATCAAGAGGCAGAAGGACTGTCACGAACTGCAGCCACAACTTTTCCCAAGCCCCTTTCATCTTTGCTCCACAGAATCAAGATGGAAGGTTCCTAAATTCTGCTATTTTGGGGTTAAAAAAGGGTCACAGAAATTATCTAGATGGTTCAAGGTGTATGGGCAGTGCTGTAAAGTGATTCTTAAATGGGAATTACTGCTGCCCTGAAATGAGGGCTGAGTCTTTGCAGCTCCTTTAATTACTGATGCAGTTCCAGTGGGATTAAATGGATGTGTGAGTGTGTGTTAGCATATGTTAGGATGTGCTGTGCTGATAAATATCAGCCCTTTAACATGCCTCCAGATACACATGCCCTGCATATTTACCATAATTGAGCTGGTGCCACCCAGAGTTGAAGACAAAAGGAAGGAAAGCCTTATTGATCCAAACTTCTGGTGATCAAGAGCCCTGTTTTGGCTGACTGTGGTGAAGAGTGAAAACAATTTGTGGGGAAGAAGGTGTTTATGAACACCTGATTGAAAGGAAAGAAGGTACAGGTGGATGCAGAAGGTACTGAGTGCCTGTAGCCGTAGCCTGTTCTTGTGTCAGCCGTGCCAAGAAGCAGCAAACAGGATAAATAAAGGATTCCATGAGCCTGATGCCCCATAACCTTGTTGCTTCTCTGTTTCCCTGTCTGGGCAGGGCACACACGCTCATGTCTTCCCATTCCATTGCAGGGCTGCGAGCTCAGACCGTCCTGGTCAATGACACCGTGTCGGGGTTCATCGGCACAGACGTGGTCCTGCACTGCAGCTTCACCAACCCCCTCCCCAATGTGAAGATCACGCAGGTGACGTGGCAGAAGGCCACCAACGGCACCAAGCAGAATGTGGCCATCTACAACCCTGCCATGGGGGTGTCCATCCTCTCCCCTTACAAGGAGAGGGTGACGTTCCGGAACCCTTCCTTCAAGGATGGCACCATCCAGCTGTCCCGGCTGGAGCTGGAGGACGAGGGGGTTTACATCTGCGAGTTCGCGACTTTCCCCACCGGCAACCGGGAAGGGCAGCTGAACCTCACCGTGCTGGGTAAGGCTTTGGAGGGTGAGCCCATTGCTTCCAGCTCAGCAGGTCTGGAGGAACCTGGGGCTTGTGTCCCCGGAGCTCAGGGCAAAGGTGGATCTATCTCTGGGTGTGAATTTTGCCTGGGATGATCTTGCAAGCTGACTGAGAAGAGGTGGAGAGCAGGGAGCCCAGGGCAGGTGGCTCGCTGAGCTGTCACACCTCCTCTTCTCCCCAAACCTCAGTTCTCCTTTTCCACCCATCTACACTCTTAAAGCAGGTGCAATAACAGTGGCCAGTCCCCTGTGGGAGTGGTGAGTTTTAATGAGCTTGTAACTGCCAGGTGAACAGAAAGAAAAGACAAGAGAGAGATCCTAAGCACCAGCAGAGCTTGTCCATGGAGCTTAGGGTTGGGAAGAAACAGACCCACCCAAGGTCTACGTGACTTGTTTGCTCTTCAGTTTCAGCTTCTTTCTAACATAGGGCTGAAAACCTCTGTCAGGAAAGGATTGACTTCCCACTGTGGGCATCTCCACTGTTCTTTCCCCAGAGATGCTCCAGGTGGATGGTGCAAGGTGCATAAGCACTGCTGTAAAGCAGTTCTTGTAGGGGAATAATTGCTGGCAATTATCGAGGACTCACCACAAGGCCTGTCACAGTGGCGCCAGATGTCTCTTGGGATGCAGGGTAGCATTGGTTTGCTGACCATCTCTTTGCTGATAAATTGTTAACTGTGCCCTTCTCCTTCTGCCCTTCCTGGCAGCCAAGCCCACGAACTGGATGGAGGGCACCAAGAGGCCGCTCATCGCCAAGTCTGGCAGGACAGAAAAGATCCTGGTGGCCACCTGCACCTCCTCCAACGGGAAGCCCCCCAGCACTGTCACCTGGGACACCAAGCTGAAGGGGGAGGCCGAGTTCCAGGAGATCAGGAACAGCAACGGCACCTTCACGGTGATCAGCCGGTACCGGCTGGTGCCCAGCCGCGAGGCCCATCGGCAGCAGCTCATGTGTGTGGTCAACTACCAGCTGGACAGGTTCACTGACAGCATCACCCTCAACGTGCAGTGTGAGTGGGCCTGGGCAGGGCCTGGGGCAGGGCTGGGGGCAGGGCTGGGGGCAGGGGTCAGTGCCCAGTCCCTGCAGTGTGTGCGGGATGAAGTCTGGGATAGAGTCTGGCAGAAGGGAATTTTCTGAAGGGGAGATGTTGGTCTGGTGGATGATGCTCTCTTTTTATTTTGAGAGTGAAAACTGGAGTGATCCCCTTGGAATAATCATATGTTTTCTCCTTTTCACACCTTCTCTCTCTGCCTCTGCCACGTCCCTTTTGCTCCCCTCCCTCACATTTCTTGTCCTGTCATCTTTGCCTCCTTGCAATCTCTCTCCTTCCCCCACCCCTGCCCCCTCATCTCTTCCTGTTTCATTTTCTCCTCCTTGCTTTTCCACAACTCTTTCCTTTCCTTTTCCCTCTGTCCTCTCCTTTTTTCCCTACGGCTTTTCCCTCTCTTCCACCCTCCCTCCCCGCAGATGAGCCAGAAGTCACCATCGAGGGCTTTGATGGCAACTGGTTCCTCAACCGCAAGGATGTGAAGCTGATATGCAAATCTGATGCCAACCCCCCAGCTCACACCTACGAGTGGAAGCTGTAAGTGCCTCCAGTGCCTCTGCTCTCAGCAGCACATGTCACCTTCCAAGAGGGCCAGGGAGCCTCTGCAGACACCTCACTCACCCTCTGGTCAATTAGGGCCCAGTCCCATTAGTGTCAGCGGTGTCACTCCAAGGTAGAACCTGTGCCTGTGATGAAACTTGCTGCCAGCAGCACTGCAGCCTCAATGTCCAGGAAAACTTCCTGTTCTCACCTCACTGGGATAATATTCTGCCCTGGTGACGTGAAGCAGCTGAGATGTGACAAGGTGATTAATTTGCCCAGCCACCACCAAGTGCTTCGGCAGCAGAGCTGGAAAATAACCCGGGATTTCCCTGCCTTAAAAGGGGCACAGATAGCACAGAATTTGTCTGTGTGTGAACAACCTTTCCCTGGAATCAGTTCCAGGAGATCCCCGCGTGACTGACATTAAACAGAACCAATCCCTCATCCTCCAGGGTTTCAGCTTTTGGCTGAAAACACTAAAGAGACATGAAAAGTGAGTGAGGGGTGTCTGGGGAGTCAGATGGGAATTGATACAACCTGATGTGATTCTCTCTGCTGCGCTCTCTCTTCTCTAAGCACTCATGTAGCTTTAAAAGAGAAAGATCAAATGGATCCTTTCTTCTTTTCAGCTGGCATTTGTCATCAGGAAAGAGGCTCTCAACATGGCTTTGCAAGGAGCATATTCTCTCTCATTTCACTTCCCAGATCAAACTGTTCAAAGTGAAAGTCTGAAGAGGATTGTTTTTCTTGCCTTTTTTCTAGTCCTCATCCCCAGCTCTCTCCATCTGTTGGTTCTGCCAGTCTGGCTTAAACTCCGAGGGGCTCTTTGGGCTCCTCATAACATTTCCAAGAAAGCCTCAGAGGCCAAGATGCACCCACGGCAGAAAAGGTGCCACTTGAGGCTATTTCTGTGCTCAGATGTTCCTCTTCCCTTTCCTGGAGGTCAGGAAGCAATTACTGCTGCTGCTGTTTTGCTCCTGCCTGGAATGTAAAACCCAGCAGTGCTTTCCTCCCCTCCCTTTTTGGATGGTGATGAGCAACAGTCAGGGGAGCTGTTAGAGGAGGCAGTGGCTTTCTTCAGCATCCCACCCCACAAGATGTACCCTTGCCTCTGGAGATTCAGTGCTCTGTAGGACCAAGGGTGAGGTGTTCTGTTCTTCCATCAGTTCTGGGATCACTGGATTGGTGGAGCTGGGAAAGACTAAAATGTTTGCTATAGGTGTGTGTGTATGTGGACATGGAAAATAACTGCATGTGCATTTAGGCACTTCTTTACAATCCTAATTATACCCCCGTTATTCCCTTTTGTTTCTTGCAAATTGCTGACAATATGTGCACATTTGGGTCGGGAGGAGGGGGAAGGAATTACTTGAGTAATTTTTAATTGCCTAAGAGAAGTAATTACTTTACTTTGCTTCAGTAATTAAGGATAACCAGGCCATGTGTGTCTTTTCCTAACACACAGGGGCTTTTTTATTTATTTTTTTTTTTTTTTGTATCTGCCTTTGTTCATTTATTCTGGTTTTGCATTATTCCAGCCTCACACTTGCTGTTCTGACATGGGCAGGTCATAGATGGCAGGGCTTTAAATCAACACCGTTCTTTGAGAGCCTGAGTTGCAATTAACACTGGCTGATGAGCTGCCCAGGAGTGTTGTACGGGCAGGAAATTGGAGTTGAGCAGGGTCAGGTTGTGTCCTTTTCCTGGCTGCATCAACGGGTACCTTCCAGACAGCACCACCAGCTCCCGGACCTGCCCAAAAGCAGACCTAGCATGTTGGTGCCACCTCTGCGACGCTTTGTGTCACCTCTGGAGCCAACCATGGTCTTTGTCCCCTCCCCAGGCCAAACGGGACTCTGCCAGGGAGCGTGGAAATCCAGAACAACACCATCTACTTCAAAGGGCCCGTGTCCTACAGCGTGGCCGGCACCTACGTCTGCGAGGCCACCAACGCCATCGGCACGCGGTCGGGCCTGGTGGAGGTCAATGTCACAGGTAGGAAAATGCCTGGTGTGCTCTGGAACACGGTGACGAGGAGCTGGGGAGGGAGAGTCACATCTCCTCAGCCTCAAGTGGTGCAGGGGGGGCTGTTCTTTGCTCTGTTCTGGTGTTGCGCTGGTTTGCCGTGGATTTTTTTTTTTAACTTTTCCTCCCTTTCCTCGCGTTGTCTTTTCCTTTCTTGCACCAAGGTACGTTCTGTTTGTTCCCCCCTTGTCTTCTGCTGTGGATTCAGAGAGATCATTGGGCGTGTTAAAAGCGAAGACGTGTCAGGGAGATATTTATTGGAAGGGAGAAGAAGGGGTAGGATGAGGATATGGACTGCCACCGAGGCTGCAAGGCGTGAGATGGATGAGTCATTTGTGCAGGATGATTTGTCTGGTGTTTCTGGTGTTAGGTAACTCTCATGATTTTTCATTTGAGCTCCTTCCAATGCCCTGCTGGTCTGTGCACTGGCTCACCTGCCTGATTTCTGAGGGGCTGTGGGCACTGGAGTGGCTTTGTCTGGGCTCCAGAAAGGAGTAACATCACAGGGTGCAGGCAGTGGGACAGTGGTGCTATGTGGTGTCATCTGAGGCAGAAGGAATTTGATGACTTGTAAATCAGCGTAGCCACAGGAATAAGGAAGAGCCATGTGGAGAAGTTTAGGTAGTGTCAGGGAGAGAAAGGCATGTCGAGAAATAGCTGAAAGAAAAGAAATACCATATGGCAATGGCCTCATTTCAGAGAGTCAAAGTGACATTGCGAGGCATCACCCAGGGGGAAAAGTGGCTGTTGGTGCTTTGAGAGCAGGAAAGGGAAGTTTACCCCATTCCTTTGGGGTAAAAGGACAGATTTGGTTTGTCAGTGGGTTAATGACAGGCAGTGCCCAGCAGTTGTGGGTCTCAGGAGAGCTGGAAGTACCTCAGTGCAGTGAGGTCTGGGCTGCAAACACCCCAGTCACCCTGTGAGCTGGATGGGGCCACTGGGGGCTTCCCAGGGAAATACAGGACAGGTTCCTGGGGTTGTTAGTTCTTCCTGCTGCCCACCCCGAGGCAGTCAGAGCCCTGGAGAGTTGTTTAACCTGAGGGTGATGGAATGGGGTTCTCAGGGGGGCTGAGCTCCAGCCCCCTCCACCCGCTTGCTATGGTGGTAAATGCTGAGCAAGCATAAATATGAGCCCAGGGCAGCTAAAATGAGCAATAGCTCTGTGTTTGGCACCCTCACCACCTCAGTTCCCCTCTCTGTAACATGGGTAAACCAGGCTAATCTTCCTCTATCCAAGTGCTTGGAGGTCAATGGATGGGATGTGCTAATTAGATGCTAATTACCCAGTATTTATTTATGATCATTATCACTGTAGCAGGCCTTTAATTCACACCTCCTGTCCTGGATCGTTGCCTGCTGAGTGTTCTTGGTGCCTGCTTTTCTCTGGGGGCTGTTTCCACAGCTAAAGGCAGTGGAAGAACAGAGCTCTCCTTGCCCAACCCTCCCAACTGCCTGAAGCCAGGGGAAGGTCATGGCCAAAATCAGCTGCTGGCCATGCCATGGGAGTTGCCACCAAAGGCACAGCGTTCCTGGGACAGTGCAGGCAGTGCCTGGAACAAGCTGAGCTGATTCCCTTGGGCGATAGAAATGCATCCCACGCGGTAACTCCAACACTGGCTCACGTTTGGAACAGTGAGCAGAGGGCAGAAGCCTCCAGACCCAGCCACCAGTCACAGAGAAGGAGGTGGAACACTTTTTGCAGAAGATTTTGAGAGTGTGTCTCAGCACCAACTCACCTGCACAGGCACGAGCTCCTCTGGGGACGAGGGGCTGTGGGTTCCCCCTCGGGGTTTTGGAAGTGTGTCCCTTCCTGGTGGTTCTTCTGAGGGCTGGCAGAGCACCGTTCCCACGCTCCATCAGCACAGAGCTGGCAAAGGAAGCGGGGACTGGCAGGATTTTGGGGTTTGGGTTGGTGTCTGCCTGCCTGTAATCTCAGTTTATTCCCAAAGGTCCGAACTGTGGGGTTGAGGTTAAACGAGAGGGAATGAAGGGCACACCCACTGCTGCCCTGACAGGAGGGATTAGCAGCCAACCCAGCAGGCCAGGCTTCCACCACATTAAAAAAAAAAAAAAAAGCCTTTAATAATTCATGGGATCTGAATATGTTTATCCAGCTCTCCCTCAGGACCGATTAGGCCAGTGCTGGGGAGGGCTGAGCCCTCCTCGCTCAGCTATTACAGGTACATTTGTTTGGGTCTTGCAGGCAATTTAGGGATTGTCAGTGGACCACGAAACCTCTTTCAAGAGCTGCATGCAATAAATGGAGTTCAATCTAGCGAGCAGCCAGCCTTGGGAGGAGAGAAAAAAAAAACAACACAGAAGGCTGATGCAGAGAAAACCCTGCAGCAGCTTTTCCCCCTTCTTGCCTCCCTGTATCCCCCCCCCTCCTGCCACCCAAAATCCTTCCTCCAGGCCCCAGAGAGGAGGAGTGCAGGGCTGGTTCTGGCCCCTGATGGGGAAGGAGGCTTGTTCCGAGGGAGAAGGCTGAATGCTTCTGTTAGAGTTATAGCGCATTAAAGAGATTGATAAGTGGAAATTTAATATTTTATTCCAGCAATCTGTTCCTATAATAGCTTCCCCTGCCTTGCAGGACCTTTGTCAGTCGCAGCCCAGCCGTGTAGTGTGACATGTCACTATTTATTGCGGGCGGGTGGGTGACATAATAAAGGGCTGTGGTTGGAGGCTGCACGTGTGTGGGGTGTGGGGGTCCTGGTCGTGGCCATACACACCTGTATGGCCCTAATTTGGATCCTGGCCATGGACATACAGGTGTGTGACCCCATTTGTATCCTTGGTCATGGACACACAGCCCTGTGTGACCCTGATGCTCCTCCTGGCTGTGGAAATGGGCATCCCAGAGGGAATGCCCTGCTGCCCACTCACGTGTGTGTGCAGGAACAAAACCCCAGTGCATTTGCATGTGTGAGTGTGTATGTTTTTATGAACCTGTGCTTTTCTGTGGGCAGCAGAGCTGGTCCATCCCCTGTGCATGTTTGTACCTATATATTTGTGTGTGCAGGGGACGTTCACCCACTTGTGTACTGCCTTCAGCACAAGGAGGGAGATATTACAGCATCTCTTCTCCTCATGGACCTTCAGAGGAGAGCTGGGGGAGCAGGGAGAGGCTGTGCCAGCCCTGGCCTTGGGGGGAAGGAAAAGCTGGCAGGGGCTGATCACCACCCCCCCTTTGCTTGGCTTGCAGCAGGGAGTTATTTACACACCAGCAGTGATCTCGTCCCAGCAAGGTCACTGCAAACAGCCCCTGGGCTGGCTGGAACCCTCTGCCGTGCAGCAGCAGGGGCTTTGCTGAGGCTCAGAGCACACAGGGAAGGCCCTTTCCGGGAAGTCCTAAATCCCAAGCCTAAAGCAGGTGCTCCCAAAGCCTCGCCACCACCGGCCAGGCAGCTTTAAGTGGCAGGATGTGTGGCTGGGGGGCTGAAGAGGAACAAGTCTGGGGGGAAGGGGGGGGTGTCTGTCTGATGCTAATCTTCCGGAGTGTCTGCTGCATCCTGTCTGGTGGCATCTGTGCCAGCGGCCCCCGCGGGAGCAGGGCTTGACTGACAAGTGATAGGTGACCTGGAGGAGAGATTAGAACCTAAGACACGTTTGGCATCTGGCCTGGAAGCCGTCACACTCTGAAATGCCAGTGGCAGCTGCTGAACTCCTGGATTAGTTGCCAGTGGTTTTTCCACCCCCCTCAAACCCACCCGACCGCCTCTCCTCTCCCTCCGTCTGCGCGAGAAACCCCTGGGAGGGAGAGGAAGGGCAGGATCCCTTGGAGGTGCAAAGGGGAAGGGAAGAGGGGCAGCAGTGCTATGGGCTTCTCAAATTCCAGGCTGAGGCAGGTCCAGAGGTATCTCCTTATCTTCAACCGTGTACACAGCGCGGGGGGCAAAGTCCTGGGATAATTTGGCGTGGACTCTTCCGGCAGGGAAAGTTTGCCGTCAGCAATCTGCCTCTTAGAAAAAAAAAAAACAAAAACAAAAAACACCCACATAGTCATTGCTGTGTTTGCTGAGGCCATCTGGGAACTGGGAAGCCCCATGAATCCATTGGAATTAAGGTTCCTGCTCCTCCCCAGAGCTGCTGCCTCTCCCTGGCTTCCTGGTTGTGCTTGGTGTTTGGTTTTGCAAGGTAGAAGGAAATCCAGAGCCTTCCTCTGGAAGAGCTTCATGCATGGAGCAGCTTGGGCTGACACGTGTCCAAAAGGTGATTCCTTGTGGAGTTTGATGTTCTCCTCAGTACCCATGGCTGCAGGGAGAAGTTTGGCTGGTGCTGGGTTTTTTCCTTGGTCTTTATGAGTGTGCCTTCAAGAAGAAACGTGTCCACAAGAAGTAGAGTCTTTTAAAATATCCAAGTGGTGTGATGAGCTTTTGAAAGCTGGTTTCCTGTGGATCTGCATATCACAGAAGAATTACTTGGTGTCTAAAAATACACTTTTTCTGATCTGGGCCCGTCCTGCCCTTTGGGAGCAGCCTCTTGTCCCTGTGGGTTCTCTGATGTCTAATGAGGTTTTAGCTCCCACCTCTACCAAGGATCCCTCTCCAGCTCTCACCCAGAGCTTTATGAGAGGGCTAATTTTGGATCATTCTCCTTCCGTCAGATAGCACTGGAATTGGCCAGCAGGTTCAAAAGGCGTTAGAGAAGGGATGGATGGGCAGGTGGGATGATTTGCATGCGCCTCATTTTTACTGGAAGCCAGCCATGAGAAGAGAGATGTGGGTTTTTAAAAAGTCTCATTTTTGAGGCCACTCCGGCGATGGGGAGGGTTTGTCACTGCAGTGGCTGCTCTGCTGTGCCCAGGGGTGCTGCAGGGGGAAGGCAGGAGGTGCCTGGAGCCACGGATGGAGGGATCAAAGGGAACCTGTGGGCTCGGCCGGGTGCCAGAGCGGAGCCCAGGGTGACCCCCTGGCATTCCCAGCTGCTGTCCCAGAGGTCCAGCTCCTGGCACGGGGACAGGAAGCTGGGCTGAATGCAACAGCTGGCAAAGCTGGGCACGGGCAGATAGTGTTGCTGCTTTAATTCCTATTCATACAGCACTCCCTCTTTTTATGAGGGCTGGGGGGGGGATGGCAGGAGGTGGGGGGGAGGCTTTTTATGCTGGCATTAAAGCCTGGCTTGTTCCCCCTCCCTCTGCTCTGCTGTCTCCTGTTTCTCCAGGCCACTTTTCACAGTGGCTTTAATTCTCTCCAGACTCTTCCTAATGGATTTTTCACATGGGGGCCCCCAAGCACGCTCAGGAATCGCACCAGTTTCCAGAAATTTCACGCCCCCCTTGGGCACAATAAGAGGGCTCCTTTTCCCACACTTGCCCCCTCTCTCCACAGGCTGTAACTCTTCTCTCTTTGCACCCCAGACACGAAACCAAGTGGTCAGACCTGTCCCAGTCATTAATTAACCAGGGAGCTGGGTGGGGGCACCCCGGCAGGGGCCAAGGCACAGGTGACACGCAGGTCCCCGCTCACCACCTGCCTTGGCACCGAGGCACCTTGTTGCAAGGCAGAGGCACAGCCCTGCAACACTGCTCCCTTCCCAGGGAACATTCCTCCCTTCCTGGCTCATCCTGCCCTCGCTGCTCCTGCAGCCCAGAGGCCATGGTGAGGGTCGCCAGCAGTGCCCACCCCGCTCCGGAGCCATCACCGGTCTGTGCCGCCATCCAGTGGCAGTGCCGGGCTCTGGAGTGGTCAGGATCCTTCCTCCCTGGGCCACTGGCCCCTCGGTTCTGCCCGTCCCCCCACCCCAGGGTCTCCCACCTTCCCCATGGCATCCCCAGAGCCCCCCTCGTGCCCGCTCCAGAGGGACGCGGTGGGAGGAAACCGTGGCCAAGGAGGGGATGATTTCGGCTGCTGGCTTGTGATCTCTCCCCATCCTTCCTCTCCCTCTCTTCCCACAGTTCGGGTTTGTTTTCTCTGGCATGGGAACTGGGCCACTGCGAGGAGGATGGGGCTGGGATGGGATGGGAGCAGAAAATAGTTCCGTGTGAAGCCCAGGCGTGAGCTCGTGCTCGTGTCCACGGCGTTGGCAGTGCCAGGGGGGCGGCACGTGGGCAAGGTGCTATCTCAGGGGTGGGCAGCACAAAGGGCAGGAAAAAATAAATATCTGCAAGAAAGGTAGAAAAACGTCTTTCCCACACACACACACACACACGCTTTCCAACCTGGACTGCTTAACGAGGCTTTGAAGGGAAAAGTGGGCCAAGCTCCTTCAGGAATCGGGCACACACTGCCCCTCTCAGATCTGTGTTCCAGAGCAGGGAGGCACAGGGATCAGTGGTGGCTTTTAGGGACGCTGCACACCATGTCTGGGTTCTTTTCAGGGGTGGATTTTGGGGCCCGAGGTCCCGAGCACAAAATCAGCCTTGCTGTAGGGTGGGAAGAGGCTTCAGATCGGAGCTGTGGGAAAATAAAACACAGAGCCCCTGGGGACTGAGCGGCTTACCGGTCTTTCCCTGCTCCCACTCAGCCTCCAGGTGGTCCCTGCTTTGTGCACAGTTTTGGGAATTGGGCAGCACGGGGCTGCAGAGGCTGTGAGGGTGAGGAGCAGCTTGGGGAGGTGGAAGGAGCAGTGTGGTTGAGGCCGAGCCCTCAGCGGCCAAGACTATGGACGTGACTTTTCCTGCTGTCCCTGCAGAGAGGTTTTGCATTAACCAGCTGGCTGTGACAAGCCTTCTGTTGATGCAACATGTGGTTTTGGCTTTCCAGAAGCCCAGCCCCAGCTCCCTGTGCTGAAAGACATGCCCTTGCTGCTGCTCCAAAGGCTGCCTTTGGAAAAATGCTGCCTCCTGCCTGCACAGCATCTTGCTCCTCGTTCTGGCTGCAGCAGGGACCCCCCCATCTGCCTGTCCCCAGCCCACTCTGCCCAGTGGGCTGCTCTCTGTGTGGGTTCAGCCTCATGAGGTTTTGCTCAAGGCAAGGCAGCACTGCAGAGACCAAGATGCTGTTGTCGTCTCAGGAAAGGCAGGAATAAATCAGCTTTCAAGCACAAAAAAAAAAAGCCCCATTTATGGATCAGGCCAGCAATTGCTCAAATTCAGTGCCCTTGTCCAAAATCTGCAGCTGTTTCAGGAACTGCCTCTGTTGGGGGGAAGCTCTTTTCTCCCCCTCTTGCTCAGCTGTTGGGCTAAGCTGTGCTGCAGAATCCCACTCCCTGCCAGCAGGGACATGAAGAGGGGTAGGAGGCAGACACTGCCTCATATCCCTTTGGAATCTGCTGCCTTTGAGCCCTGGCAGCTCTCTGGGAGGGCACGTTGAGATTGCTGCTCGCCCTGCACCTTTCCTTGGCTGCTGGGGTAAAAACAAGGGCCAGGAGGCTCCAGAGCAGCACCAAAGGTTTGCAGCTCAGAGCAGGGCTGGCAGACAGGCCTTGGGGGTGGGAAAAGCAGTAGGAGAGGTCTGAGCCTGGTGTGCAAGGGCAGGGCTGCCACGGGGCATTAACCAGGCGCCTGCTGTCTAAACTCAGAGGCAGGTGAAGGACTGAGACGACCATGGGGTGCTTAATGCCTTGTGGACACGGGTGTTCAACAGGCACTGTGTGAAAGCTGAGTTTGGCCAGGGGCTTTAACTGTGCCCAGGGAGCGTCAGGAAGTTGATTTAAGTCCTGGATCAAACTTTATCTGTGCCAAAGTGTAGGTGTCGAACTGCATGAAAGGGAAGAGAGCTGCTTTCTCATCTCTTTTTCTCCTTCTCTTTTGAGTTATTTATTTTTTTTTTTTTTAAATGGGTCAGGGTAACTGTAGGAACAAGATTAGCATGAGTAGTGGCACCGGGCTGGCCGTGGAAGAAAAAGAAGCAGTGGGAGGTCTGTGTCCCTGTGCTGCAGAGAACAGTCACCAGGGTCAGCACACGGGGTCAGGAGCCAGCAGGACTCTGAGCAGCCACACAGCACTCGTGGGTGTGTGGGTGGGAGATCACAAGGTGCTGGTGCCTTCTGCTCTGGACCGAACCGGTCGTGGTCTGGGCTGGGGTGCCGGGAAGGGGGTACAAAGCCGGCGTGTCCAAGCCTGGCACCTCCCGGGAGCAGTCGTGGCATCCCGGTGCCCACCTCTGGGCTGGGGTTTTTGGGGGTGGCTCCCCGTCCAAGGAGCACTCCGGGGCTGCCAGTGCTCCCCCGGGAAACTGGAACTGGAAAAAATGCCACCCGCTAAAGCGGAAAGCGTCCGGACTCAAGACACTGGGCTGGTGGGATCTGAGCACGTCCGGAGAGACCAGGTGGGGTGGGGAGGGACAGACACACTGCTTTCCAGCCTGCGGGGCTCCTGCATGAGGCTTGGCCAGCTTGGCACGGCACGCCGCCTTCCCCTCGCTGAGGCAGAGCTGACCCCCCCCCCCCCCCACCCAGAGGACGCCCCTATTCCCTTTTCCCTAGTTTTTCCCTTCCCTGTTCCTTACCCTCATCTTCCCCCCCCCCCCCCCCCCCCCCCCCCCCCGCCCTCCCCTCCCCAAACTGGCAATGAGAGCATGGAGGGAGGGGCGCGTTTCCGCATGGTTTGACACTGTTCCCCCTTCCATCTGTCTTTTCCTACCCAGAATTCCCCTACACCCCGTCTCCAATCGATGATCACAAATCCATGGTGCAGCCGAACATCCCCACACCGGTGATTGGGGGCATAGTGGGAGGAGTCTCGCTGGTCCTGCTGGTGGCCGTGGTGCTCTTTGTGGTACTCCGGCGCCGGCGTCACACCTTCAAGGGTGACTACAGCACAAAGAAGCACGTGTACGGCAACGGCTACAGCAAGGCCGGCATCCCACAGCACCACCCCCCCATGGCCCAGAACCTGCAGTACCCCGACGACTCGGACGACGAGAAGAAGCCGGGCCCCTTGGGCGGCAGCACCTACGAGGACGAGGACGAGGAGGCGGGCGGCGAGCGCAAGCTGGGCGGCCCCAACAAGTACGAGGAGGACGCCAAGAGGCCTTACTTCACCGTGGACGAGGGGGAGGCCCACCCCGAGCCCTACGACGAAAGGACACTCGGCTTCCAGTACGACCCCGAGCAGCTCGACATGGCCGAGAACATGGTGTCGCAGAACGACGGGTCTTTTATTTCCAAAAAGGAGTGGTACGTGTAGCCTGGCACCACCACGTTTGCTGCGCCCAGCGCACACACACAAACACACACCATACACACACACCATACACACCACACACGAGTGATGCCCTCCCGCTCCCCTGCGCCCCTCGGAGCTTGCACACCCGCGTCCCCCCCTGCACACACACACACTCACACTCGCACACACAGACACACACGCGCCCCCAGCCAGCCCCAGCATGGACTTTTGGACACTTCCAGCACTGGCACGGAAGGGCTGGGGCAGGGAGAGAGGAGGGCAGCTTTGCTTACAGATCGGTTTTTTTTTTGGTTTTTTGGTTTTTTTTTTTGGGGGGGGGGGGGGGGGGGGCATTAACGGGAGGTGGGAGGTTGGGTAATTATTTCCTCTCTCGGTTTTCCGGTTTTTCCGGTTTTTTTGATTGGTTTACTTTATTTTTTTTTTTTTTTTTTTTTTTGCCTTTTAATTTCTCGACGACTTCTCGTCCCCCTTCTGTGGTGTTTGTATTGGTCGGTGGCTTAGGTGTTACTCTTTGCTTTAACGACTGTTGCCCAGCCTGTATAGTACACTCTGTTTTGTGTCTTCATGTCTCAGAGTGCCCTTCAGCCCCCTCCCCGAGGGTTCCTCCTCCCGCTCCCACCCCCCTGAAACACTGGAATTTGTTTGTATGTTGTCTTGTTTGTTTGTTTTTAACCTTGGGGGGGGAGGGGGGGGTCCTGTCCGTAGGACAGAGGCCAGGAAAGTTTATGGCAATGGAAGCGTAGGTGCCATTTTATCAGGTGAATGGATTGGGGTTTTTTTTCCCCCTCATCGCTTTTTTTGTTTTCCTTCCGTGGGGTCTGGGTGACATTCCCATTGCCTGCTGCACACCTGGAGAGATCCACACCCAGTTTTTAATGACTCAATAAAAGGAAAATGAGGAGGAAGGGGGGAAAAAAAGCGCCCTGGACCAAACCCCAGGTGCACGGGCTGATAGCAGAGCGGGGAAACGAAACTGCCATTTTCCCTCCACAATTTATTATTTCCTGGCTTTTCGTTTTCTGTCTTTGTCTGAGTGTTCTTTTAAAAGAAAGGAGTATTTATTGCTGACATTTTTCCCCCCCGTGATGGCTCAGAGAAATGCTGGCTCTTTTTGTTCTTGTTGCTGTCGTTGTTGTCGGTACCAGCCCCAGAGCACTTCACTGGGGGCACAGCTGTGTCGGGCACACACCGACTGGGGAAGGGACCAACCGAGCACACTTCGCTTCCACACACTCACTGCCTTCAGCTCTGCACGCCCTGGCAGGGCAGGATCAGCCCCTAGGTTTTGTTATACCACTAAGACTTAATTGTCATGTGTTTACACTTTTATTATTTTTTTTTTTTTAATTCTGATCAGAGCATGGGGGTGCTGCTTTTTCTTCTTCTCTCTCTCTCTCTCTCTCCTAGCAACAACCCCAGCCTTGGCTGTGCCACGTAGTTGGCATTGATTGCCACTTCTCCAATATCACATCCCTCTTCTAAGCACAGGCTTGGTAGACAGGGTAGGAGTGATTGAGCCTGGGGTATTGATCTCGTCCTCCTTCCCTTGAGCCACTGTGTTGTGATGGGGAGGTTTGGATTGCTGCTATCTCTGCTCTGTGGATAAATGGGATTCCAGACTTCAGGGCCCTCTGCCTCACACCGACCATCTCCAAAATTAGATTCACTGGGTTGGGGCTTATTTTTCTTCTTGTGGGTTAATTTTATTTTATTTTTTTTTTAATTTGATGTATAAATAAATCTTTTGTTTGAAAAGAAATCCCCAGTTTTCTGAGCTGTATTATCATGCACATCTAAAAATAGCAGGACTAATTTCTCCTCCTGCCTTACCCGCTGGGTTTTGTTCCGTAGCATCCAGTGGTTTATCCTGCTACAAAAGGGAGGGTGGAGAGGCAGACCCACACAGATGAGTCAAGGTCAGATCTCTGATCCAGGCAGCTTCCAGTGCTCCCCTTCACTGTGTGGTGCTTGGTCCAGACCGCATGAAGCTCAGCCTGAGCCATCCACAGTTTGTCCCTTGCTCTGATTGCGTTAGTGGGGAAGGGGAGTGGGAAATCCAATTGTTGGCCTGTAATCTTCCTGCTGTTCCTGCCAGCCCTTCAGGCTTCCTGGCTTCTGGTAGAACAGCCACATGCCACAGGAAGGCTGCTTTATGTCCTCTGGAAGGCAGGGCAGACAGAGATTCCCTTGGGGTCTCTAGGGCTGAAGCTTAAAAAATGAGGCTAAAACCTTCCTGGGTGCGTCCACTGCCCCCAGGAGCACCCTGATAGCAAGAAACATCCCCCCCAGTAAAGGAAATAAAATCTCTTAACATATCTCTGATGACTAGTCAGGGCTGGTGATTAGGAGTGGGAATGACTTCCCTGCAGTGCTTTGGGATAGCAGCATGCACAGAGCTTTAATTCCCCAAAGGAATCTGTAATCTGGACCAGGGCAGGCACAGCTGAGGGTTGTACCTCAGCCACAGCTCACCCCAGTGTCACACAGGGCGTGCTGCAGAGGGAATTCCCAGCAAAGTCCTTCTCCCAAGTGAGTAATCCTTTAGGTCTGCATTTCACAACCAGGCTCTAAGCAGGACTGGGGCAGCGTCTCCAACACCAGACTCTGGGTGGTCCATCACCAGAGTGCAGTTGGTGGCACAGACACACTCTGTGAGGGGATGGGTTTGGAAGAAAACAACCTTTTATAAGATCTGCAGGGTCCAGCAGAGGTTCTGCGTGCTCTTCATTAGTCACAGGCAGGGGCCACTGCTCTGAGCTGGCAAATTCCCGCTGCACTGACCCCACAGGGAAGCTGTGCCCTAAAGACCAGAGGCACAAAGCCTGGCAGACAGAGCAGGAGGGCCTGGGAGAGATCAGGACAGTGTGGATGTTCCCAAGTTAAGGTGTGGCTTTCAGGAACTGTGAACAAGGAGCCCTGAGCAATCTGCTTTGGGTAGTTATTACTTTGCATTTGGAGGTGTCATTTTTGGAGATGGCTTATTTACTGCCTGTGCACACACTGTCCACATAATTCACTGAATGGGGCTCAAAAAAACCCAGGGAAAGGAAAGGAGGTCTTGGAGCAATGTTGTACTTCCAAGCTCGTTCCCTTTCTGCTGCAGCACATTTTTTTCCACCCCAGCACTGCACCAGCACAAATGTAGGACTCAGCTCAGTCACTTACCTCATCACAGTGCTTCAGAAAAGGGGTCAAACGATTATTTTTCATCCAGAACCTGAACAAGCCTGGGGTGGAAGATCCTTAGGCAGCGTTGCCTGGCACAGCAGTGAGGTACCTTGCCAGATCAAGGGTCAGGAGGGCATTCTTCTCATCCTTGGGCCCTCCAGCATTGCTCCCTCTATGCAGTTGTCCCTGCAGCCACAAAGAAATGCCACCTCTGTGCTGGGATTTGCTTCTTGCTGTCCCATGCAAGGTCAGCTAAATGGCCAGGAGACTCTTGGGGTGGCAGTTAACCAAGTGATTAGACTTTAATCCATTAAAAAAAAAAAAAGGCAGAAGGAAAAAGAAGTGTGGGGGTGGAAAATCAGATTGATGTTACATCTGAGATCTGTTTTGGCCCTGTAATAGCATCACTGTCTTCTCTGGGTTAAATTGCTCGGAGGGAGCCCTTGAAGGTAATTAGATCAGGTTTTCCAACATCATCAGGAAGAAAGTGGTGCCTGTCTCTACCTGGATGCAGGGGGGAGCTCAGGAGAGATGCCAAATTGAACACCACCTGCTTCCTGGGGGGTTCTGCAGGGGAGGGAATGGTGCTGGGGACCCTGCAGTGCTCACCTTGCAGGGACAACCTGCCCAGTGACCCCAGTGGCCTCTTGGTGCCTGGGCTGTGAAGGGGTCAGAGGGACAATCTGCTCTTTCCTCAGGGGACGGTGTCACTTGTCCCTCTGTGCCCCAGTTTCTCACAGTGGGCAGATTGTGCCAGGCTGGAGTTTCACAGCTGCCCAGGAGCTCCCAGGCTGGGTGACCCCTCGGGGACCCTCAGGCTGTCTCGAGTGAAAAAATCCCCTGCTTCTCCATCCCCCCTTTTCATCAGAGGTGCTAAGGAGGTGTTGGGACCTGGGAAAAGAGCAAGTGGAAGCTTCCAGTTGGGAGAGGGAAGCTGTCCCCATCCTCTCCTCCCCGGTGCTCGGGAGCTGCTGCTCTCCAGGAATTGTCCCATTTTGCACCAGTCCTGAGCTGGTGTGCCCCATTAGGGGTCCCTGGGCTGGCTTTTGTGCCTGGGAAACGCCTTCACCCTGCTGGGGACTGCGTGTCAGTGCCTGGGGGCCATGGCTGGCTGCCCCACCTCCCTTTGGAGGGATCATTGTCCAGATCCCCCATCCTTGCCAGTGAAGAGACATATCAGCGTGGTGCTTCTTCCCTTCCCCATCCTGATCCTGGATGGCAGCCTTGAGGGGGAGCTCAGGCTGAGCCCTGTGGGTCTCGTGACCCCAAACACAGGTGAATTTGGGCTGATCCCCCCTCTGTGTGTATTCAAGGAGCTGTACAAGCAAACCCATCTGTGTCACAAGCCAAAAGGAGCCTGTGGTTTTATTTACAAAGACACCCCAGCTGTTTTCCTGCTGGGGTTTATCTCTAGGATTATTCATTGCTATTCACCCTAGTGATGTTATTTTCCCTTATTTAATTACCAGGGTTATTTTTTTTCCCCCTGTTAAGTTATTTTCATTCAACTGGGGGGGGAGGGGGGGATAAAAAATTAAAAAAAGAAACAACCTGAGGATTTCTTCATGAAATAAATCAACAAACTCAAGTGGTTACACCAAATTAATTGCAAAGACATGAGGGACAAAGGGAGCCATTTTCCTGATGTTGAGTCAAAAAGAAACAACAACTGTTCAGCAGAAATCACAGAGGGTTAGAGAGAGAGAGAGAGAGATATTCCAAAGATTGATCTTCAAGCAATTAGAGAGGGGAATGTGATTAGAACAGGGGCTGCTGCTCTGCTTTGCTGTTTTCCTTTCCCATGCACAAGCACACACACACACACACACAGGCACACCAAGTTTTGGGAGTTTGGGGCTCCAATCCTTGGGTGGAAGGGAAG